CTGGGGGCTGGGGGCTGGGGGCTGGCAGGTGGGCGCTGTGGGGGCAGCTCTGGGGTTGGGGCTGTGGACGTGCTGGGCCGCACGCGGCCGAGGGCAGGGGCCTGGGGGCTGCGCGTGGAGCTGGGGAGGGACGGAGCCGTAGGGGCCCGTGCATGGCTGGAGGCAGCGTGGAGCCCGTGAGGTGTCGGGGGGCAGCCCCCCCCCAGCCCGTCCCGTCCCGTCACGTATTTGTGTTTCTCCTTTCCCACAGCCCCGCGGGAGACAGGGCCCAGCCTCGGGGCAGCGTGCGGGTGTGTCCTGCAGAAGCGGGGGATCCTCACGCTGGGGAAGCCCGTGCCTCAGCCCGATCCCGGCGCAGAGCGCGGACCGAGATGGCTCACACGCAGGCTTTTCCTCCAGCCGCTTTCTCTGGGCAGACGGCCGGTCCTGAGGCTGCACAGAGCGGCTGCTTCCCAGGGCTGGCTGCGCTGAGGTGCCCACCAGGCTTTCCGTTCGGATCCCAAACCTGGACATGTCCTGGCTGAGCTTCCCTTGAAGCCAGGCTGGCATCGCTGCAACACCGGGGAGCCTTGGCCCCTGGGCTCTGCCCCAGCCCCCAGTCCCGTCCCCCGGCTCTCTGCATGGCCCGTGCCCAGGGACTCTCTCTTTGTCCGACTTTGCCTCTCGTGCAGGCGAGCTCCAGGCCCGGGGAGTCCCGTGCAGCGAAGCGGGAGGGCCCTGCCCAGCACAGCAGCAGGCAGAGGTCTGCTCTGCTTCAGCCTTCTGCGTCCTCTCGTGTCCCTGGGAGTCTTCGCCAAGCCAGTGGCTTATCCCGGGGTTACTCCTGCCCCTGCTGCGTGTGCCAGAGACCACCGGGCTGGGCTCCCCAGGTGCAGTGCTGCGCCGCTGTGTCTTCACGTGCAAATCGGTGGTAAGGGCAAGTCACCTGTGGGAGCGCAGGGCAGACAGTCCGTCCGGCTGCCCGAGACAGACCTGCTCCTCCTCTGGGACTGCCCGTAGCCAGGGGGTGTGGGGGAAAGTCCTGGTGCCGGCAGGGCTCGGAGACCCGGCCAGGGAGGCGGTTCTGCACGGCCCTGACAGCGGCCTCGAGCAGCCCGTCTCCTGCGCCAGGTCTGCGCTGCGGAAACCTGGACCCTGCTCACAAACACGCTCGACCCCACAGCGCGGGACTGCAGCACAACGAAACGGGCTGAGTGACACGCACTGGCACTACGGCCAGGCAGAAGAGGCCGATGGGAAAGAAATGGCCGAGCTCGTCTGGGGAGGGGGGTCGGCATTGACTGGCGGGGGTCGACCCTCGGAGGAGGGCAGTGGTGGGGGTGGGTATGGAGATGGGTGCGCGGTTGAGTGGTGCAAACTGTGCATTGGGTGTTTGGTGTGCTTTGAGCTGCCAAGTGAACTGCAGGGGCCACTTGGCAGAGAGTTGGAGTGGAGGTATCCTAATATAATAAAAGCCGTAGCACTTCTATTTGTGCTGCCCGGAGCCTTACTGATGGACGGACAGCCGGGCGGAGGTGGGGAGCGGGCAGGGCCTGCCAGCTGTAACATGCAGCCGCAGGGTGGGGCGCACCCACCGTGCCTGCTCCCCGCAGCCACGCTCCACCTCACAGCCGCAAGCCACCGCGTGCGCTTCTCCACACCCCAGAAATATATTTCTATATATATTTCTATAGAGAAATACATATTTTTGCAAAAAACCCCAAAAACCACAAATCAGTCCATTGTAATCTTAGTGGCCCCTTCCCCAGCAGCTGAGTTGCCTCTGCCCTTCCTTCCTAGTATAAGTCATAGCATACTTAACCCGTTCTTTCTCATGGTGACAGCGTACAAGAAAGGAAAATTGAGGCAGGGAACATGAATGTGAAAAACCCAGGATTAACAAGGGCTCACCAAGGGCGTCCGGGACTGCCTGCTTGCCAAAAAGGCGGCGTACGCCCGGTGGAAGGGGGGTGAAATCTCCAAAGAGGAGTATACCTCCTCAGCTTGGGCCTGTAGGCGAGCTGTTAGGAAGGCCAAGGCGGACATGGAGCTCGGACTAGCGTCCAAGATTAAGGATAACAAAAAGTCCTTTTTCAAATATATTGGGAGGATGAAGAAGGCGCCGGGTAATGTGGGACCCCTGCAGGATACGCTGGGCAATCTGGTGGTTGCGTC